TCCTTAGGCCATACGATTAAATTGTTTCTCTATTTACTATATGTATTTTCGCCATTGTTCAATATAGCACATCTAATGTTATGAATGTGTTAACTGAGATTGTTTTTCCAAGCTGTTTGAAACTTACCATTTTTTTATGTTTTTTGGCACTCAGACTTATCACGGCAAAACATTTCTCGTTCGACGACCAATGAAAACGTAGCATTTCAAATTCTCCTATGCAAACGTACTTTGCCCCACCGCGGAGAAAGGTTTGTTGCCGTTTACAGATCTGCAGTTACCGCCAGTTGCTCCAATCTCTTCCAACTGATGTCAGAGCCGAGTGCTTCGGTTGGTGTTTTAACGGCGCTTCGCTATCATGTTTGAATCGTAGAAAACGTTGTTTTTCTCGCGTAACGTAAATACACCATCCTGTTTCTTATAGCAATCTGTCGTTTATATCTTGCTTTACATTATCATCGAGTGTGTAAAATTTCGTGAAGCGTAGCTCGTGTTGATATTTTAAAAATAATTAGAAAGCGTCGGTTGGAGATTAGGACAGATCCTTTTACCATACAATGGACCCCTTCACTCAGGTAAGGCCCTTTCGTTCGTTCGCAATGTGCACATATAGCGAAAACACGTTTTCTAAATTTGAAGGAAAATGTTAAACTGAACGTTCAGTTTTAACAAAACTTTCCCCGATAAAATTTATATTAGCATCTGTTTTTGATTCTCATTTCAGTATTTTTTATGTTAGTATCCTATTTTTTTCTCTGTAGCTTTTTATGTACATTGTAACAATTGGATTTTCTTCAATTAAATAGCGAATGTTAGAACGTGCCAGAGCAAGGAGAGAAAAATTAGATACGCAATTATCAAATGCAGGGCATGATGTCAAAAAGAGGCGTAGTCCTTTGAAGGATGCAAATGCTATTTTAGCTCAGGCCATAGGTATTACTGTTTAATTCAAATATTTTATTTCATTTTATATATAAAACTGTAGTGATCCTTATTTATATATATTTTCATAATATTATAATGTTCATCTTTTTCTATATATGTTTCTGTTTTTTTAATTTCAAGTGAAGAGTAAAACTCCAACCAAATCCCCTGCCAAAATACCAGTGGAGACCACACCTGTAGCGAAGTCTCCAAGAAAATCTGTATCCAAAAATTTTGTCAATGAGAATGATGAACAGACAGATAAAGAGAATGGGGAGATCGGTCTTTACAATGTGAGGTCAAAGCTTCAAAGGCTTGGCAAACTATATTCAGGTAAGCCATATTACATGTAGTACACCTACACATTTCAGTTCAAACTGGTTTCTTACACTACTTGACTCTCCATCCATATGTGTACCTTGTTCTGTGTGAGTTGTAAACATAAGCTGCTGCGGGAATTGTTTTGATTTGTCATTATATTTACTTTTATCTCACCTTACCTGATATTCTGTTGAAAATAATAAAATATGATAATATGAATGCATATTATCTAAAATAATATATACGCAAATAAAAGAAATTATGACTGTGAAATTTGTGTCGAAAATTAATTGAGTTTGAAAGATGATTACTCAACAATGAAGTATCATGGGACAATGATTGTACTTTTAAATTAAAGCTTGTAAAGAATTATTTTCTTTTTAATAGATGACAGTAGCAGAGAACTGAGTTCTCCTATTCACAGAACAGAAGAGAAATTTAGTGCAGAAGAAGAAGTCACTGAACAAAAAACACTTAAAAAAGGTGCTAGGCTTGACAGATTAGCAGCTCTTGCCTCAACGATTAATAATTGGGAGGATGATTTATCACATCCAACATTGGTAAATAAATTACAGACGTTTTATATCTATTAAAATGTCTTAGAGAATCAAGTGAACAACATTAATATTTATATAGGTCAAACAAGTAGATAGTAAAGTAGACAAAATACATGCAAAGATAAATGAACAAATAAGATCTGGTTCAGACCCTCAACCGAGTACAAGTGGATACAACAAGGGGCAGAGAAATAGCAAAGGGACATGCTCTAAGAATGAAGAATCTTCATCTACCAAGCATTTGAAGTGGGATAAAACTACACTGGAAACATTGGTTAGCAATCAATTCACTTTCGAGCATTACTTTTTTGTTCGATGTAACTAAAGCTGTTTACAGTTTTTCTGTAAAAGTACTTAATAGTGTATATTATCACTCATGTTTTTATTTTCTGATCCTGCTATTTGTACTGGTTGTATAGATATAATGGAGAATGGAGAAAACATTATAAAATGTTGAACTAGTTGAATTAAAATGCTATTTACAGGAGGCTCAAGGCTTTAATCGTACAAAAAGCAATAGTCGCCTTGTATATGACTATAAGGCTTGTTCTCAGGGCAAGGATGCAGGATCATCACCTAAACATCGGCAGAATCAGCGGAATGCCGTCCCGACGATTGACGAAGAACGAAATATCAGAAAACCAGATGATTCTTCGAAATTCACCAATAACAAAAATTCTAACACGCCGGAGAAAACCTCGAGAAACGCAACACCAAATTCAAATGGCACCCGATTGACGCCTAGATTCGGTTTCAATGGCTCTCCCAAGAGTCCTATTCAGTCCAGTCCAGGCTCAGTTTTGAGTAAAGCTTCGTTATTTGAATCTAAAAATACAGAGTCAAAGGCGAAGGATCCTATCCAAATGACGCTCTCCGAGAGGATGGCACTTTTTGAGAGAAACAAAGGCGAGGCTCCATTATTGCCCAAGGCCCCCCTTACCATGTCTGTACCGATGAAAAAGTTACAAGAAAAAGATAAGGGCGCCTCAGCAGCAACAAATAGTGGAGGTACGTGGGTTATGAATCTACTTACGTTTGTTTATCAATTTTTTAACTAGAATAACAGATTTGAAGCAGTATCTGCTCTATAAAGAATATGTACGTAGATCGGCATCAATACGATGACACCACTTCCAAAACGGAAGTTAAATGCGGGCACAGATAGCTACGGATGTGGAAACAGATCCGTATCGGCATGATGCCGATCTGCATATATTTTTTTAACAGAGTATTTAAAGCTACTTGATATTAAAAAATTCTGTCACAGCCAAGGATCGTTCTAAAGCGGGCATTTCTGGCAATTCCGTTATTGCTAGGCGAGAGAAATTCGAACAAGGTTTAAACACGCAGGAATTAGAGAACGATATTTTGCGTAATACTCATCAAGAACGACAACGTGAATTAGATATGTTGCGTTTACGTTTCAACCGAAATAAGGAAATGGCGCAAGCAGCTGCTGGTTCGTGTATCAGAACCAGCGAAAGCAGCGAAGGAAAATCGAATTCGCCTAAAAATTCTCCGGTTTGCCCGGTGAAACCGACGCCGGCACCTGTAAGCAGAAGTTCGAGTCTTCAGAATTAAACATATTCTTTGCGGAAAATACGTTAAGTGCATCATTTTTATAGGATCATGCTGTTCCACCTCCTCCGCCACCTCTTCCGCAGTTGAACGTTTCCAGCGAAAGACAAGCTTCAAATCAGAATAATAAAAATACGCCAACAAAAAGACAAGGTATACAACTTATAATATACGTAGGATAAACGATACATTATTTATTTACATTTAGTTTTAACGTTTTATAATTAAAAGTTGTAGGAAGTCCGCCTAAAACGACACAGGTAAAAGCAGCTGCTTCTGATATTAAACGTATTCGCGTTGCTGCACCTAAACCTGGGCATCTGTATCCCAATCTTTCTGAAATTGAAAGTACTGAAACCGAAACAGACACAGAATATACTATCAACAGTACAGAGGCAGAAACTGCAACTTTAGATGAGAAAACTGACACAGAAACGGGAACGGAAGTCGAGTATTACGTGGAAGTAAGATAGTTCTGTGAAAATTAATCAATCAATTAATTAACAAATAACCAATGATATAGAATTACTTTTTGTCTTTTGATTTGATTCATTAAATATTTATATAGGATGATGAATCTCAGATTGATAGCGACAATGAAGCTGAAGATGCAAATACTAGTCTTGGTCGGAGTATTTTGCGCGTAGTGAACGAACAAGCTTTTCTGAATAAAAAGGTTCGATCGAATGGAAATAATCTTGATTAAACTTTGCAGTGTACGAGGATTTATTTATATTTATTCGTTATTTATAGAGATCAATTGATCCGGATCCGGATAGTACAACTTCCGATATTTCCGTATTGGATGAAATGGATGAATATTTGGACGAGTGTCTTGCATTGCAGGAAATGAAGAATAGAAATGCGCGTACAGAAGAGGGTCCAACACCTCCTAAATTGAATAAAGCTGGGAAGAGTCCATCAATAGCTTCGACAAGCTTTAAATATAGTGAAGGGTAAAATAATAATAATAATAGTAATAATAATAATGATATTAATATTGTTGTGAATTAAATCTAGAACATAGTTGCAATTTTTTTTTAGGTCGCCGTATCGTTCGCCTGTAAAAAAAGTCACGTCCCCTAATCAAGGCGAGCCTTATATTATAGATGGTGACAATTGTGTACCCTTAATGCACAGTGTCAGCATTTATAGACGACAACAGTCGGAGGTAAATTAATATTAAAGAAATGTCAGTTTCAAATTGTGACACGTATAGTGAACAATTCCATTTGGTTTTAGACACCTAAAACGCCAGTACGTGTAATATCTAGAACGCAACAGCCAGCTGCGTGTAGTTCTGACGCGGGACAACTCGATGATAAGAACGAAGCAATTTTGATACAAGAAAAGGTGAAACGATTGTTAGATGAAATATGCAAACAACAGACGATCATCGGACAAGCTAGCCAGGCACTAAATTTGTGCAATTCTACCATAGAGTTTAATCATTCCAGGGAGCAAATTGAAGCAGAAAGATTATTGCTTTTGGCTAGTAAGTTCTTGCATATTTATGAAGGAAAACATTTTCGTTAATCATTACGTAGTTGTACAATATGAAATACACCTTATCATTGTAGCTCACAGGCGACAAGCTGCACTAAATGAGGTACAACGATTAAAAGTAGAAGGTACTTTAAAACCCGTTAGTCCTGGATCTCCGGAAATTCAAGAAAGTGCCTCATTAACAGTTTCTGCTATCACTTTGCCTCTTAAACGAGATTACTGTCGTAATATGGATACAAGTAAGTAATACATACAGTGACTCTCATTAATATTCGAACATATTTTAAAACGGAATAACTTTTAATATTGGACCAAACAATTTCATTTTCTATGGAACGTTAGAAGATTTAATTTAGTATTTAATTATATAAGGACATAGTCAGTAATATTATCGCGCAGCTTCGGAATCTATCCCTTCAAGCAACAAATTAATTTTATTTAATTTTAGGTATATGTTTCCACTTCCTTTGTTTAATGAAGCATTTGGAAGAAATAATTGCTACTCCGGTAGTTACAGTAGAACCTGGCGACTCCTGCCTTCGATTCCCATCGACATTAAAATTGAATGATTTGAATAATGATTTTAAAATCACTATCGAAATATATTCACTGGAAAGTCAACCCGAAATATTACCACATGAAATTAAGTACCATATTAATCATGGCAATGCATGTAACAGTAGTAACAGCAATTGTAACAAAAAAGTAAGTACATAAATTTATTTGAAATATAATTTATATTCTTATCGAATTATATTATTGTGTTAATTCGGTCCGATCATTTACAGCTGGTAAACAAAACTCCGAAAAAATTTTTAAAACAAGAAAATCGGTTGATTATGCCAAGTATACAAAGCCCGGCTGGACCATCTGCTGTTAGGTCTACAGTTTTTCAGCTGTCTGGTTACGTTATTTTCAGTTTGAAAGAGATACACCGGCAACAGTTCACACTTAACAAAGTAAATGCATACAAAAATAAGATATATTATAATTAGTAATGCGTTATATAGAGATTATTCAAGTTTTAATTAAATATTTCAAGGTACCATCGCAGTCACCCCTGGAAGGACGATTGCAAATGCACGTTTCGTGTGAACTTTCGGTATCGGTAGAGCACAGAGGGTTTCTTACAATGTTTGAAGACGTATCCGGATTCGGTGCTTGGCACCGTAGATGGTGTTTGCTCAAAGGCTCGACTTTGTCGTACTGGAAATATCCTGACGACGAACGAAAAAAGACTCCTATCGGAAGTTTAGATTTGCAAAGTACTTAAAATTCCCGTTCTATAATTGACCACATTTTTCGACTTAAAATTTATCGTAATTTATTTTTAGACGTTAGTACAACAAATGTGGGATTAGTGTCTCGCGATATTTGCGCGCGGCCTCACACGTTTTTACTTGAAACGACCAGGCCCGCAGAACCCGAGGATACCGAAAGTTTAATTATGGTCAGAAATGGATCATTAATGACAATTAGGTAAGTCTTTTATATCCCTGTTTCATTTCTATATAGTGTAAAATTGCATTATAGTAATTTGGACTACCATTTCTAGCGGCGTAGGTGAAAATAGAATGTGTTTAGCAGCGAAAGTAGGAATAATATTGATTATTTTTAGGCATCTATTATCAGCTGATACAAAAGAAGATAGATTGGAATGGTGTTCGAAACTTAACAAAACACTGAATTTAATCCACACTTGGGGCGGGCCACTGACGTTATCGTAATCTAAGAAAAAAGTATAAGTATCGTAGCGTACTAAAGTACGCTTATTTATTGATACACTGCGTACAATATAACTACGCAATGTATACTTGTGTATATTAAATACTGCAATTAATTAAAGTGTAATTGATAATGTATTAGCGATATTTGTGACATCTGTATGTTATAAATACAGAAAATTTAAGATATATTTACGAAAAATTAACGTATTCGTAGCAAAGAGGAAGGAGACAATTATTTGTTGCATTTTACAAATAATACAATTTCAATCATGGATTAATCTTAGGCGAATAATCATATTTTAAACCTTTATCTAAAGGAAAAAACTTGGATATAGTTGAATATATTTTACACAAAAGAAATATTCTTTATAGAAAATTAATTTAGAAATAATCGATATACACTGTTTTACGAATAATCTGTTTTTTTTTTACATAATTCAATATTGAAAAAGTATAAGTATCGTAGCGTACTAAAGTACGCTTATTTATTGATACACTGCGTACAATATAACTACGCAATGTATACTTGTGTATATTAAATACTGCAATTAATTAAAGTGTAATTGATAATGTATTAGCGATATTTGTGACATCTGTATGTTATAAATACAGAAAATTTAAGATATATTTACGAAAAATTAACGTATTCGTAGCAAAGAGGAAGGAGACAATTATTTGTTGCATTTTACAAATAATACAATTTCAATCATGGATTAATCTTAGGCGAATAATCATATTTTAAACCTTTATCTAAAGGAAAAAACTTGGATATAGTTGAATATATTTTACACAAAAGAAATATTCTTTATAGAAAATTAATTTAGAAATAATCGATATACACTGTTTTACGAATAATCTGTTTTTTTTTTACATAATTCAATATTGAAATGAATTGATGGCAAAGGAATAAATCTGAAATGCTTGGAGAAATCAATTGTGTTTTATCCTCCTGGATAAAGAGCAGTTTCTTAATGAATTTTGTAATATTAATAATGTTAGGTAAATGATTATGTAGTAGAATCGTACACTTATTATAATGCATTCACATAAATTAATACGATTGTAGTATTAAAGAGCTAACTATCATAAAACTGTTTATTACAAAAGCGCGTTCGGATTTTACCATAAATCTAATTACATATTTTGGAATATTTACGTAATTACATTGTAAATAGGCAGACAATAGTTCATAGTCACTAACAAATACGTAGTTAAGTATACATATCATATATAATGTTCTTAATACAGCATAAAGATTTTGTATTCTATTAAATTATACTTTTTACTTTTCTGTATAAATGCTTTTCTTATACCATTGATGTTACGTATTTCAAATAAAATATTCGCAGGCGGAAAATCTTTTTCCTTCACTTACATACTTGTCCGGCTACTGTTGGGAAAAATTTTGAGGGGTGATTCTACAAGTCAAAATAAGACAAAAGTGAAGAATAAAAAAATTGCGTCCTCTTGCTCCACCAGTAGATGATGTATGATATATTATTATTTTTCCTAGTAGAAACTTCTATTGCACGATCTAATTATAGCTATGAATGGAAATAGAAGATCATAGGAAGGTTTGCAAATCGTAATGAACATGCGTTTTATTTGTGTACGTATTTATTTACGCGAGCGGTGCTTTGTTACATGCATACGGTAAATATTTGTATACAAAAATTGTTTACTCGTATTCACATATTTAGTATTCTAAATTGGGTGAATGAGCGCTTCGTCGTCGCCTCTCATAAAATGGAACTTGTAACGCCTCTCGTTCAAAATGTTTATCAGTAGTTTCTGATCAAAATTATGTAAAGTAACTTGCTTTACACGTTGGCACACGTTTCACTCGTAACATTTATGATAATCTTTTATCATTTTCCATTTCCTCATAGCTCAACACTTCTTTGCTGTATCGAACGATTGCATATATTGTTTCGATCAGTAATATTTCTGCTTCAAGTCGCAAATTGGAATAAAAATGTACTGGATATACATATTTCAATAATGAACAATATTCAGGAAAGATGCAATCCATTTTAAATCTGTGCTCAATATTTTTAAAAATGTTGAGTAGCGAATCGTGTGCCACACGATTGTAAAGTCTACTTATATCTATGCAATATCCTAATGCACTTTTTATATTGGCGTATGCCGATGGTCGGAAAATCCTAGGTCCTAGACAATGTTACCACGGAACTTAAGTTCTCAGACATTCTTATTTAACGAGATTGATAGTGGGGTGGAAACCATCCTTGTCGGCGGTGTAGTCAACCCTTTAAACGACGTACAAATTACGTAATTGACATTTTTATATTTTCGACGATCATTGGAACGAACGTAGATTTTGCAAATCTTTCACCTGTACGTGTGCCCGTCCGGTGACGTGAAGGTGAAACTGCCAGTAACGTCGAGGGATTCGTCGTCCGTTCCCTCGTTCTTCAATTCAGCGGTTTCTTCCCTCTTTTGTCCGTCGCTCTGTTCGTAACTGAAGTGATAACCACCCACCCCAATATTATTCGATTCTTCTTGCTTTATGATCGTGATGTCATTTGGATTCTGGGGTGCCGCCAGAGCTCCCGCTATCGCTATCGCGAAGATGATAATCTGCATTAAAAAGAGTTAACAAAAGAATTTAAGTTTTATCCATTGTTATTCTTATTACCATTTTACACACTTAGATCTACTAAAATCTGACATTCCTTTCTGCTTTAAATAAATATTAAAATGTGTTAAAGTAAAACTCATATCTGAACTCCAATTCTGTTTTATTAAAATTTTAGCGAGTGTCCGATTAATTAAAACTGATCTAACAACGCAGTTCGTCACTCTAGTTATAGTAAATGTCCCGATTTCTATTCATGTCTCCTGTCATCCCCCAGCGAATTCAACTACGTAAAGTTCTACTGTAAGCGTGTTATGTTTGTAACTGATTGCAGTTTAAGAATTTTTTTTAGTAAATGTCGGTTCATTAAAAATGTACTCTATGTTTTAAGTGCATATAGTGCGAAATTCGGCAAGTTTACTCAATTTCAGAGTTCATCACCACTGACCTCTAAGCCACATTATGTAACATACAGGTAATCGGCCGATCGGTTCGGTCGGAGCTCGCGAACCCGGACCTTTCCAAACATTCTTTTAGGTACTGCTCGCGCTATTCGAACTAAGCCAGCGAATTCTTTAAAGTCTAAATTCGAGTATTTACCCAATGCATAATAAAAGTATTGTTAAAACTGAAAAGTATGAGAGTTCTTTCTGATAAGGGGCACACCATCCTGTTCGCCTCCAATTTTCTTCTCATGATAATCACACATTATTAGTAAAATATAGATTCTTTTAAACCGCGTCAAGGTAAATTTTTACTTACATTCTGATACACTTTTTATTACTTACAATTGTAAAATGAACAGATGATACATTGTCATGTCTTGCCATATTTTATCTTATAGTTTTATTCCTATGTAATTTATTGAATTCGTAATAAGAGAAATATTTTCTTTTAGGCCACTGCTTTTCCATCATATCAAAATTGTAAGTCCATTCATATAGGAAGAGATAAGACATAAAAATGGAATAAGCAATAATAATATAACAACATTGTATAATTTCGTTAAAATTTGTAATTTTAAATAAAAAAAAAACTGTATGAACGTAAAATGATGCCCGAGTTGAAAAGAGCCTCGATATTTTACTCAGTAATTACCATAGGAAAAATGAGTCAACATTTTCGGTGATGTACCCTTTTAATTATCGGTGCGTCACGCACGCACAATTATCACAGTACTCTTCACTTTCACTGTTAAAAGAAAAGTTTTGGAGCCTGCGATCGAAATCTACGACTACTTAGTTCACCGGTCGAAGTCGCGGAACGCGTTTTCGCGCAACGTGCAGAAAAGAAGAGATCGACTCCTCTCTTCTGAGGTCAGACCCCGCGGAACCCACCGTCTTCATTGTAGAACGTCTTCGTTTACGGATAATTGGTACTCCTTTCGTCCTTAAACGACGACCGATACGTGATACCAAGGATTCACGGCGCATCTCTGGCTTTATATAGCCGGAAAATCGCGGGTGTTGCATCCCCACCTGGCATTAGAACCAGCCGAGAGATGCGCGAATCTCTTGGCTAGGACTTTGTCTCTCCCCTGGCCGTGTCAGGATGCATCCGCGATAGTGTCTCTCGTCCACAGAGGACCCGTTTACATTCTTCGCTTCGTGTTTGTTCCTACTCTTATTATCGAGAGTCGAGTATTTATTCGTCAGCTCGCTTTCGCGATTGGTCATCGTCTTTGATTTCGCTAATTTAATTGCCAAAATTTGATACGTAAAATTTCTACCAATTAAAGAAGGATTCAATACACATGTTTAAAAAACAAAATACAGAAACTGAAGAAATGATACTTCCGTACTTATTAAGAAATTTATAATAAAACTACTTTTCATTTTCATCCCCTAGGCTCTGAACTGTCTACTGTCCTAATATAATTTAGAATGCATTATTTTCATTATTGATTTCCCTTAAAATGTGAAACATTTCGTGAACCATAAAAGTGATAACTTTTAAAAATTGCTCGAATCGTATAAAAATATAGAAAATGAGAGGTACAGAATTTTTAATGGTAAAAGTGAATGGTGACAAGATTTAAGCTGTGAGAGTAGGCATTATAATCCCACTCTCTTTGATAAAGGTGCATACGGTCGAAGATCAACCATTAGGACGATTAGAGTACGTAGAACCTTACCATAATTATCGTTTGATGTTTCTGTGTCAACAAACTGCTACATGCGATGACTTTTAAATCGAACGTAAAAGGGAAGATTGTAGGGAGATATGTATATGCACATTCATTCACGTGTCTAAACGGTATACGATTATAGCAAATACATTTCACGTGTTACGTCATAAAGCGTCTTACTTAATTCAAGCTTAAGTATGAACCATCCTAGCCGCGTTACGTGTACGTAGAAAACTCGAAGCTATAAAGTTCACCGAAATGCAAATATGCAAGTCAAATAAATATTTTTTACTTTCAAATCTTTTGGATAATAATAATTATTATTATTCGTAAAATTTTAAACTATTATAATAGACAATTTAATAAATTAATGATTTGGGAAATATCACATTATCATATTACCTAATTTGATACGGATACCTTATTATACAGTTACTACTATTAGGTTTGCTAATAGTTCAATGCTATATTATAAAATTAGAGGTTTTACTAATTCTATGTTGCCGTATCTTTATAATACGATACAATGTAATTTCATTCTTCGTAACTGCTTTTAAAAGGCATTTAATTTCTTCACTGTTATTACTCACCCTCGTAATGAATGTCCTACGTCTATTCCCAATTAACTATTTATCTACAACATTCGCTGAACAAATTCTTCCAAAATAGATAATTACTTCCGCTTCCCATTAAGCTATTTACATTTTGAGATTAAGTCGAAGGAATACAATCTTTTAATGATAAAAGTACTGTGAGTCACGCACAGAACACCGCATGAGCGATTGTATAAACAATTATACCTGCTGGTTAATTGTTTCCAACCGGTAGACGTAACTGGTTAAATGAAACCGGATAAAATACAGTCTACCGTAGTTAGAATATTAAATTTTCATTGTTTCTTCGCGGATGAATTAATTTTGCAATTATCCCGGAATGTTAACAACCAAGTGTTTGAAAGTTCGACGCAAATATGCGATGATTTATACAATTTTTAATTCTCATTTAGAGCTATTCACCTATACTTATTAGATGCAGTGCCTACATATATTTGCAATTCATAACATTAAACTCATAGGACGTTTACTCTTCGATTACTCGTATTCCATTTAACACGGGGTTCACTTTACAAGGTGAGCGTTATTGTGATCTAAACATAGATGAACTTGACGTGACTAGACTCACATATACTCTGAATGAGCAGGAACAATTGCCTTCGCATGTCCCAGACGAAGTTCCTAATGGCAAAGTCCACCTGGGAGATTGTTTGATTGTAATATCTGAATGACACGGTTAAAAGATATACGTACGTATGTTTATAGAATGTTACTTAGACAAAGAATACATACATATATCTATCTATCTATCTATCTGAATTCTATTGACCTTCTAACGGATTGCGTGAAGTGCAAACGAAACCAAGAATCAACTGAGACCTTTTTAATCATTAACGTTCGTAAAAAATCGCACTGTAGCATTATTAAATTAAATCAATGATAAACATGACAACATGTACATAACAGTAATTTCATTTTACTCTTCTTGGTGATGAAGAGACGTGAAACAGCCGCTTACATGATGTTGGCTATTTCGTAACCCGGATAATACCGAAGGATTCATCAATGCACAGGCGTAGGACACTGGTTACCCGATGTGAACAGTCGGACGTGAAAGCCGAATCTATGAGAATTTTTAATCTTTTCCGTTTCTTCTTGTTCAAATCCTTTCGCACCAGGAGTTAAATAAGATACCAGTATTCCTTATCAATTCCCTTAATTATTTCGTTGAATATCAATAAAAAAGTATGTACAAGTGTTGTTCTTCTATAAACATAGCGTTAGTAATTACAATTAATTCTATAATATATTATAATATAATTCTATAATATAATGTTTTATTAAAACAAGCCGAACAATTTTATAAACCTTACTCTTCTGTAATTATCATTCTTTCTAAAAGTTCATTGCTTTTTATTACGTGTGTTAAACTTTGGCAGAAATTTTACGATTCATACAACCTAAAGTTTATTTAGAATACGTGAATAAATCTATCATGAAGATATGAGTATCGATTGTTTCACCTGAACAATCGTGAAGACTGAATTTAGTTGACGAAGCCGAAAATTACTTGACGTAAACGCGGTTTTACAATCGGTCGTTTGGTCGCCGCAGCCTCCGAGGCATCGTGTCGGCTAAACGTCCTTGGTAATTGTGACATTTGCTTTTCTCGCATGTTTGTGCGCGTTGAGAGGGACCCGAGGAAAGTTAGTGACGTAACTACCGGTGACCTTGCCATTTCAAGCAGAAGACGACGCGGAGGACGCCTTCGGCTAGAAGACGCGTCTTCAGGCATCTCGCCTCCTTTCCCTTCACTTCTTTTTCTCTACCCCGCGGCTACATAGTTTCGCTAACGAAATTCGCGCTTGCGTATGCAACTGCCTCTTCTACTTCGATTGTACTTTCGGAGTCGTGTGTCGCAACGACAATACCGCTTGGACATTTTTACCCCTTAATATCAAGTTTCTGTAAGAAAGTAAGAAAGAGGAAGAAGTCGATCAGTCATTTAAACCATATAGAAATTCTGAAACTCTGATGTTAAGAAAAAAATGCATATTTTCTCCCTAATCATACACTCTTGTATGTATTAACGACTGCATAAAGATGTTTCAATGACGAGCTCTTCATTCGTAGGTAAATAATTAACAATTCGCAGCTCTTAAGAAGCTGTCGGTTGTGTTTCCATATTTGATGACGATTATTTTCAAGCGGATGCCGCAGGAACGTTCAAAGGGATTTCGATGCGTAATGAGAAGCGTTGAGATTGAGACCGTGCTGGAGATACCGGTTAAATGTCAGTTCACGTGTACATAACTATCCAAGAAGAGTATTAAGGCCTGAGCAAAATATTCCCACTCGGTTATAATAATAGAAAACGATTTTTCTTATTCTAAAATCGTAGTATTGTTCGAACTTTTGCTGCGCTCCCGAGGAAAAATAGAAGGTTTAAAGTGGGCAAAATTCAACTCGAACAGGTAGCAAAGATGGAGATTCCACTGGGAATCGCGTTCCGTTCTTTCTGATCTTGTTGCGACTGCCAGATAGAACAATTGATTTTACGTAATCTTTAAATATCACGTAGCGTGTTAGGAAAACATGAGAAAACAGGAATACATGATGTATGTTTTTCACGTAGTTGTCAAGTTCGATTTTCCATGCAGTATTTATGCAAATGCGAACTGACCAATTTATTATTGAATTTGATCGTAACGCCTGTCATTTAATAAGAAACCTTACCTTCTGTGTTTAATATGGATTTTATAAGATATAATATATAGGATGGTCAGTAACTAATAATACAAACGAAAATGGAGTGATTCTATATTAAAGAATGAGATGAAAATAAAACATTTTTGTGTATGACTTTGTTTTTGAGAAAATCGATTTTAAATATTCAGTAGGTAGACGTATCCTACGATCGGAAGCCGTCATGGAACCACAGCGACCGACAGGTTTCGAGCCTGACATTCAACCATCACAGCTACCACAGCTTCAGCATAGTCATTTTTTCATCATTAGAATCAGTGATTATTGCAATGAATGATTATATGTATATATATATAAGCGTTCAAGGTTGAATAAGTGTACTTTCAACTAAATTAACGTAACACGCGTTAACTACGTAAATGTTATTATCATTGTTGTGATCATTGCTGGAAACCAACTGAAAATAATAATATTGTTTTTCTGTCGATGCAACGCAATCGATTTTCCGATGATTCCGTACGATATATAATTTTAACTTAATTTTAGAATGAAATATGGAAATATTTCAATGATTAATTGAACGTAGTTACTACAAATATAATTGCAGATTATCTCTTCCATAAGCGTATATAATAAATACGTTTTCTTAAGTTACCTCGAGGATTATATTTATCTTCTTTCTCATTAAAGATTATGACGAAATTTATTTGTAAATTATCGCAATTTTTATGTCGTGCACACATGAAAATTCATTTTTACACAACAGCAGAGGAACAGAAATTACGAAATTGTATATAAGTACATATTGAGTAATTCTTTTAAGTAAACTGAGGATTTTTATGCATTTATAGAAAATGTACTTGTAACACCTGTTGCATAATCTTCAAACATACACAAAGCCTTTACACAAATTTATTATTCTATGACAAGTGTAAATGAATTACATTTCTCAAAATATTAGGGTAAATCAAAAGTTCATGTGTTGTTTTTTTGTTTAAGTTACAATTAATTTATTGATAAATAATAAATGCATATTTTAAAATAAAATTCTTTCATTCAACTTTTTGAATCATCTTTGCGCTGTACGAACTGAGACGNTAATGCGTAGATATTAAATAACTTTTCAAAAGCTATAAAATGATATACAACCCTTGTATATAAAGTATCTTTATTAACGTCAAAAAATTATACAAGCTGAAACAACAAAAAAAAATGCACGGATTTTTAGTTCACTCTATGTTCACAAAATATGATTTTCCATAAAAGTCCGGTGTTTAATAAAAGAAGTCAAGTGAACATCAAGTTGAAATATGCAAGCAATATTTTTGAATGGTTCCTATTGAAAAGTTAAAATAAATCATGTTATGCTTCTTTATCTACGAGAAATCGACGAAACTTGCGATGCATTTACAGCATTTGCTTCCATGGGTATCTCATTAGCATTTGTACGATTATGAGAAAATGTGTGCATAGAAAGATCGAGATACTCGAATCTGAGTAGTGGCATAAGAGAACGGGGCGATAATTGCACAGTTAATTTGCGTAGCCACAAACCGCGATAAAAAATCGCGTGAAATTGCAGAAATGTCAACGCGCGGCCAGGCAGCAGCGTTGTTTCGCTTCGTTTATTCTCTTCTCGACACGCGTCGACAATATGCTGGTGCCAGATGCGCAATTACATCACAGATAATCTTTACGTACTCACTGATGATGTGATGATTCGACGGTAACGCGGAGAATGTAACTAGACGCCGAGGATCACCCTCTTCACCCAGCTTTAACGTCTTCCTCGTCTTAACTAGATGCTGATTTCGCTTATCTTCCATCTATATGTATTTCATTTATAGTATACACATTGTATTAGACACAAATATTCATTGATATTTCCTTCGTTTCACCACATGCTAATTTAGACCAAATTTAAATAGAAAGATTTTATATGTTTCACGAAATACAATTGCAATAATATAGAAGCATTTAATATTCTATAGAACAAAACAAATTAAAAAATTATCTACCTTATATTATGGCTTTATAGAGATAAAAATATACCATTTTTTGTCATTTCACGTAAGAATTTTCAGTGATTGAAGAAAACAAGAATCGCGTCATCGGAAAAGGAAGATGGGTCATTGCATCATATGAGGAGAAAGGACAAACATGCATTAAGTATGATAACGTATATGCATACATGTCGATGGATGTATTTCCTTTTGCGTGCATTCCTCGTCCTTCTCTTTCTCTATTACTACTAGTCGTACTTCACGAATACATTAACAATTTAACAAATATGCAAATACTTTCTACGAAGTTAATAATGTATCTGTTACCCTTTATGGGAACACGTGTATGTACAAAAATCAGCGTTTATCAATATCTATTCTTATGCAATAAATATTTATAAGAATGATTCACACTTTCTCACCTTTGATCGATGTGCACATAAAAAGCCTGAAATATATGAGAATATAATTAAGTTTGTGTATAAACCTGTCCCACTTTTCATTGATGGACAAGAATATACAGGTATTTTATCTCATAAGAAGAAATAGAAGTTACGTAAATCATTGATTATTGACTTTTAGTCTTTTAACATACACCATATCTGAGCTACTGTTAATAAAATTAAGTAAAGATAATCTTGAAAATCCATGTAAACAAATTTAATTTGCATCGCTTAATAAATGGTAATACGTGATTCGGAAGATGTACTATCTTTTCATCATGGGGCATATCAAGCCTTGTTATCTGATCGCAGATATAATCGTTAAATTTGACTCGACTAGGCAAAGCGGTGCACATGCTTTCCATAATTCTTCTTCTTCTTCTTCTTCTTCTTCATTTTCTTTCAATCGCGCAACTTTACGGCAAAGGTCGTGCAGCCGCATCTATGTACATGAGAGAGGTAACGAGCAGCTATGTTCTGTCGCAATAGGGAGACAACACTAGTCACGATCGGTCAAGAGGGGTTTCGAATTGAAATGCCGCTCTCGGGCGAGATTGCATTTCCGCAATAGACATTTCTTCTGAACCGCGAGCGAGACACTTGGCCCCATCGATGGAGAAAGTTGGCTGACGCGACGCGACGTAAGTAACTCGTTTGCACGAAAATCTAGGATCGAATACATGTTACGAAGAAAAAGAATACGAGACGAAGGCTACCGAGATTGATCGGTCTCGATTGAAGTCACTTCTGTTTCGCCTTGATCAAATGCAATTTCGCTTAGTTAATCTTTATAGTCCTTGCAGTAATAGCAATAGTAAAATTGCGGTTTTTTCACTTGAACAAAGAAATACGGAGAAGTATTTATGGGTAAGTATAAAACCTTCGGTTGCGGATGTTGCCTTACATTGAAGAACAGGAATAAACGAAGACTAATCCAATTGGTATGAAATCATTTTATCATTTCACTTTTAGTATCTATACTTCTTATTTTGGACGTTAACATTCTTTTCATTAATAGCCAGATACCTTGTATACTTTAAATTAAATTGTGTTATTAAACCTTGATTTATTGCATTTAACAGGTTTTTATTTAGGTACACACAAATCCGAGTAAAATGCATTTATATAAAATACCGTTCAACAGTCGCAGAAAATAGCACTATGCGTTACAATTAGTTAGAAAAATACAATATAAAAATTCAATAATAACATATGTTATACTTATGTACAACTTTACATAACTTTCGCCATAAAGCTTTTACTTGAAATTTCATGTTCATGCATATTTCATTTATAGATATAATAATTAATTACCCTTAAACTTATAATAGAAAATAACGTACGTAATCTTTGTAAAATCATAAAGGATAACATTGTAACAATTTCGACTAATTATTACGGTCTCACTGATACAGTCTTACTCGTACAATCACCCATAGAAATATCTTTGAGAAATAATCAAACACCTGTAGAAATAATTAAATTTTACTCTTCAGAGCATTCTGGCTCGCTTTGTTCGCAAGCTTGTTTAAAAATGCATGCGCTTCTTGATAGTGAGGGTTTGTTTCATCTGCAACTCTTTTCATCCAAGCCGCCAAACGAGGCCTGCCTTCCTGTGGATTATATCCTGTAATACCTGGAATTAAAAATCGTATTGTTAATATTTTTAACATTACAGTTATAGTTATGTTTACGATTATAGATTTATAAAAGTTTCACATATTACTTACGAACTTGTTCCACCTCACACGAGCCAAGAATATCAGCAATACTAATTTCAGAACTGGTCAAGAAGTCATTTTCTTTTAACCAAACGTTTTCTAAATCATCGAGCGATTCAATCATATGTCTTTTGTACTTTGATAATGTTTCCTCACTAGCTGGTTGTCCAGTTAAAAGTGGTATTAGGTACTATAATTATAATACAATGGAAAAATGTACTAAGAAAGTTAATGAATTAATTAGAAAATGTTTAATATCACTTTGTGCTTAATTTTTACCTGTATACGAAAATAGGAACCACAATTAAATCTAGTATTAAGATGTTGCCATTCGAGATATTGATCAACTTTTAATTGGGATTTAGATTCTTTAGGATACCAATGATCAGATAATTTAAATTCTCTACTGAGATATCTTAAAATAGCGACACTATAAGAAAGATAATCTATCTTAATTGGATTAAAAATTGTGAAGTTATTCATGTAATTATATGAATTCATACAAGTTCCTCCGTATAATTTATGTAATTAATACTAACAAGCAAATAAAGTTTTGTATAGGATTAGTGTACACTTTTATAGAACAGTAATCCCATAGGATCCGAAATTACATAATCTGCATAGTATAGATCTTAGTCATTTTAGCATATTATATAGAGGCATTTACATTTTTTTTATTGAATAAGGTAGAATCACCTATACATTTATATTGAATTATAAGTTGAAATTTAATTTACATAGCATCTAACAATTTTTGTATTAAGAACATTTGTAGAAAAATTACTACAAAACAATACCTTTCAAACATATTCAAACCATTATGCTCAATAGCTGGTACTTTTTGGAACGGATTAACTTTTTTGTATTCTGATGTAAGATGTTCACCTTTGCCCAGATTTACCAATTTCCCCTCAAATGGAATATTACATACTTTTAAAAATATGTAAAGAGCTCTGGACGGTTGCGACAACAAATCATAATACAATTTCAGGCTCATTGTGCTCAGTTACAATAAGTCGCTTACAAAAAGAATTGGATTGAAAGAAATCAATTATTTATATTCTATATATGACTTTTGTACAAAAACGTCTGGAAATAAATAAGTTTATATACAAAATTCAATTAAAAGTACAAATTAATAATAATAGAGTTTTATGACGTTTAATAATTGTTTATATATTTGTAAATCAAATGTACTTTTAAGTGAAGTTCGATCATAATTATTGGAATTCTTTCTTCAAAGGGATTAATGAAGAACAAGGAACGACGGATAACATATATTTTTACTGTACGACGGATAGCATACATTTTTAAGAGTGCAAAACAAATAATTATTTAAATTAAATGAATAATAATTTCAGTCAGGTTATCATCCCAGTTAATGAACATATTTGATTTTACTTGTTTCGTGTTAAGAACAATGTGGCAATAAATTTATAACTGTTTCGTTGGTGTGCAAATTAGTAATTCAAGCTAATCCTAGATTGGAATTAGAATATCTTGTAACGATAACGATTTATCTATGTATGTAAGATCGCAGGATTTAACATTGTGAGAGATGACGATATTTATCTTTTGCAGTTTTAACCACGACAAGTTAGCGCTCATTCAAAGGAAGAGCAGTAAATGAGACTGACCGAAGGGAGAAAAGTGGAAATTAGTTATTAAAAATTAAACAACTGAAGGTGTAAGTTCTTACAATCAGGAAGCAAGTGAGGAAAGCACTATTTGGTTACTCAGTGATAGAGAAAAATGGCTGACTGCGAGAAGGAGGAGGCTCACAATCTCGTAAGCTATTTGCCTTTACTTACCGTTTATCTAATCACTTAGGCGACCTCGTCTCGTCGTCTCGCGGTTCGCGATGATAGTGTACCTTATCTATTGTCAAACTAATCGAGTTACTTTTGCTGTTCTCATTGTAAGAACTCCTTCGTGGTTATGTTTCCTGCTCTGAAGATCCTCTTATTTATTTTTCATATTTGTGTTCATGTTTATATTTAGGATTGTGTAACGCACAGTTTTGTTCCAAGCTTTATAACCGACATACGTAACTGAAAAATCATGATTGTCTTATAATATTCGTTATGATTAATTATTCAAGGTTTGAGACTAAGTTTACTACTTTGATCAGTATAGAACACAAGTTATCAAAGTAGAAGAACTTGTTTGCAACTCAAAGATGAATATAGTACGTTATGTTCATTACAACTTAATTTATAATCGATTTTTTATGTATCAATTTAATTGTTATCAACTGTTTGGAGACACATTTGTCACACTAAAGATTATATATGATCTTAATTCGTGTAGCTTTAATAAAAGTTGTACAATTAAAATAGAAAAGTTGTATATTCATTTTACATTTAAAGATTACATTGGAAATATAATTGA